TTTCATTGTACTATTTTTGTGGTTAACATTCTATTTATGGTAAGTAATACTTGTTTTTCATAGATGGCAATGAGATAAAAATTGCTTTTCAGTGAAGTTGAGCAAGAGGAGAGCCAATGTAAAGAAACAAGTACACGATAGTGTAGATGATACATGGATATGGAATGATCGGTGACAGTGGGACACCAATGACTGAGATTTAGGATACCCTAGGAAAGAAGAAAATAAGATTAAACACGAAAGGCTGATAAGAAGGATATTGCAATAGTAGAGGTGAGAGATTTTAAATTCCTTGAGATCAGAGAGCCTTATCTTATATTTATTTTGTTTTTTCCTATCTTATATTTATTTAGTTTTGTCCTCAGGAATAAGCCTTGAAGGCACCCAGAATGACTGTCTAGTTAGTTCCCTTGTCAACAATGCAAAACATTGTCACATATGGTAAGCCGGATCCTGATGTTAATTCATTCTTTCAAACTTCCAATACAAAGTTCTCAAAACTTCCAATACACCACTTCAAATCCCATTTGGGAAGGTGGGCAGTATAAATGAATTATGTTTTTTTTTAAAAAACACTTTAAAAGCTCCTACTCATCCTTTAAGTTCCTTTAGCTTAAATGTCACCTCCTCTGAGAAACATGCCCTGATTTCTCTGTGTACACCCAGTTGCTCCTTGTCCTGAGCTTTCAGTGAACCTTCTTACACATTTAGGCCAAACTTTGCAGAACATTTTCTTTGTGTGCCTCTTCATTAGGCTCTAACCTTCCCAGTGACCCTGTCTTTCTTTTTACCCATAGCTCCGAGGACTGCTCTGGCACCAAAATAAGAAGGAGCTCAATGAACATTTGTACAACAAATGAATCTTGCTGTGGGGACATCACATTAAGGAAGAACATTTAGAACGTCATTACATTCTATTGATTTCAAATTCAATGAAAGTTCAAAGAAGAGAAAAATCAACATGAACTGGAACGTGTATTGAAGGAGTTATGGATGTTACAAGGCTTGGGTTGGAAACAGGAAATCTAAATAAAGATTCTTTAGCATTGCTTCAGCTTCCTAATAACAAGATTTCTCACTCAATAGTCTGTGTGTGGGGGGTGAGTTGGGGGGACACCAGAGGGAGGGAAGTAAGGAGCTGGGTCCTTGGGAAGGATTTCTCTTGCATCTTCTCCTTGTCTGCCTTCTTGAGAACTACCTTTTGGAATATGGCTGACATTGTCTACTATCCCTCTTCCCATAATTCCACAGAATGCTTGTCCATAAATATTTGTGGAATGGAAGCACCCTACCATAAAGATAAAACTAAATTCTATATTATTGACTGAAGTTCATTAAGAGTTCATAGAAGGAAGAAGGGTAGGAACAATGAGATCTTATTGAAGGATTTCTAGCAGATACAGGCTGGAGTCAGGCTATAGAACCATAAAGACATTGACTCTCCCACTCTGATACCCTCCATTATTTTTCTATATTGCCAGTTAAGATGACTTCAGTCCTTTAAACCAGCAAAAGCTACACTGACAATAGAGTAGTCACCAGCCACGTGTGGCTATTTATATTTAAAAGCAATTAAAATTCAGTTCTTCAGTGGTACTAACCACATTTCACATGTCCAATAGCCACATGTGCATGGTGGCTTCCATATCGAATAGCTCAGATAAAGAACATTTCCATTAACATAGACTGTTTGATGGGACAGTGCAGATCTAAGGACTAAATTCCTTCTGGGTTGCTGAAGGTGGGAGTTTGAGGGCAAGACAAGCCAACTTATAACTGTATTTTACAGGCTTTTCTGTTCCTCTACACTGTTACACCATTAGCTACTAACACTCTAAGATTTAACTAACATTTCCTCCATTGATGGTTTCCAAACTCTCTGAATGCCCGCTGTGTATATGTTTCATTTTGCTTTTTACAACTCAGTGGTTTTTAGTATATTCACAAAGTTGTGCACTCATAACCACTATTTAAATCCAGAACATTTTCATCAACCCAAACGGAAACCCCATATGCACTCAGCAGTTGTTCTCCATTTCTCCTTCCCCTGACCTCTTGGCAACCACAGATCTGCTTTCAGTCTCTACAGATTTGCTTACTCTGGATATTTCATCTAAATGGAAACATTCATATGTGGTCTTCTGTGTTTGGCTTCTCTCACTGAGCATAATGTTTCCCAGGTTCATCCATTTTGTAACATGTATCAGTCTTCATTCCTTTTTATGGCTGAATAATATTCCATTGTATGGATGTACCACATTTTGTTTACCTATTCATCAGTTAGTGGATATTTGTGTTGTTTCAATTTCATAGCTGTTATAAATAATGTTGCTAAGAATATTCATGTACAAGTTTCTATTGGGGCATATGTTTTAAATTTCCTTGAGTATGTACCAAGGAGTAGAATTACTGGGTCTTATGGTAACTCTGTGTTTAACTCTTTGAGGAAACACCAAGGCTGATTTTCTAAATCAGCTGCGTCATTTCATCTTGTGTATATTTCAGACCTCATTCTTCTCTTTAGCTGACAGTGCCTAACATACAGAAGCTACGTAGTCACTATTAGACTGGGCAGATAATCACTTTGGCTCACATCAAACATCCAGCCAGCCTGGAACTACAGGATGCCTTGTTGAATAGCACTGGGGTATGGTCCCAGTCTCCTTAATGCCTCTCTATTACCTGTAAATAATTTCATTCAGTCAGTTCAAGTTTATTGAATACTTAGTACTGAGTTCCTTGTACTAGGCCAGGCATTAGTGATAATTAGTTGGAGGGATGGTCATGTAAATGGATCACTAGAATATTGTTGCTTCGTACTGGAATGAGAATATAACAGGGACAAGGGGATCACTACCAAGGACAGGACATTTTCATTGAGTCTTGAGTGCTAAATAGAAGAAACGCGATGCAGGAGGCACTGCCGAGCAAAGCATTTTGTGGGATGAGATAGGCGACAGAGAGATTCATAAGCAGTTCCTGCCCACAAGAAGGTTCCAGGGTGGACAGAGTGGAATCCAGATTCTTCTTTCACTTCTCATCCTTCAGAAGGTCGAATTTAGTGCGATGCAACCAGGGCTATCGATTTAAGAAATTATCTTGGGTCAACCTAGTTCTCTACCTAAAATAGCCTTTCTTCTTCGGAGTGATAGTGTGACCAATCCAAATGGAACTTATGCTATGGCAAAAGCCACAGCTATGGAAAGTGAGCAACTGGGATGATGGGCTGATGTCTCCATGTGCGTCTGAAGCTTGGACAGGGATACTGGTGTAAGAACCTTCCTCACACAGTCTGTTTTGCTCTGGTGTTCTTATCAGGTGAGGCTCCACCCAGCCCAGTCCATCTTTTCAGTATAGAGTCAACGGATCACTCGTCCATTGATATAAACTTGGAAAACAGAGCTAATTCCTTGTAGGGTCCTGGGCTTCTCAAACAAAGTAAATGACGTTAAGCTCAACTAGGGTACAAATCAAGCTGTTCAGAGTAGGTCAAGCTGGTTTTCACTCCAGCCTTTCTCTACCAACCCAAACTTCTCCCTCTAGAGTTCTATCAACATAGGAGAATAGATCTAGAGGAAATACTTGTAGGAGAATGGTTACATATTTGCTTTCAATTTTTTAAAAATTTTCATTTATTTATTTGACAGACAGAGATCACAAGTAGGCAGAGAGGCAGGCAGAGAGAGAGAGGAGGAAGCAGGCTCCCCGCTGAGCTGAGACCTTGGGATCATGACCTGAGCCTAAGGCAGAGGCTTTATCCCAGTGAGCCACCCAGGGGCCCCGAGGTATTGGTGCAACTAAAGTCAAAGGTGTTAAAATAGAAACGGTGCTACTTTTTTCTACTCACTGTTACCTGGTTGCTTAAAGGGGGCTTCTTTTATGAGTGGTAAAACAAAGTTTTGGCACCATCCTGAATTTATAGTGGTTGTTCTTATTCTTTAGAAAGGCCCAGCTCAGGTGAGACAAAATGTTGGGAGGGCTAAAGAACTGTGGGAGAAGATATGGAAGACAGGAACCATTTTAATTCCCTACCCTCTCTCTCCCTTCTAACTTGTGCCTCTTAACTGCAACGTGGAATGACTGTTGGTGTGTCTTCCAGATGAAAATCTCTCACACTGCCAACTGATGTCACTTGGCCACACGTTTCACAGGACATGTGGACATCCTGAGGCCAGCTGTTTTCTGTACTTCTGTATTACTATATCCAAAGCACTTAGAAAAGTGCCTGGCAAACAATGTGTGCCATAGAGAAGTCAGGGTTATTATTATTGTTACTATTACCATTATTATTCGGCCTTAGCTCCCTATCTAGGTATTAAGGACCTTGTAAGTGAAGATCTATCTCACCATCTTACTCGTTCTTACTAATTTGTAAACGTGTCGGACCTCACACACATCGCTTCCCTTTTGCGAACTCTGGTTGGACCACATAGAGATAGATTGTGCGTCAAGTCCAAGCCAAGTCCAAAAACACAATTTGGCAACCACTGTTTACAAGCTGCCGTCCTGCTTATAAAAACAGGAAATCAAAACCCTGTAGGTTTTTGCAGGAGTGAGGCCGCAGAAGCAAGGATCCCCCCAGTCCAGCCTTGGTATGAGGAGTGGGAGAGACTCCAAGGCGATCCCCACTCCCCGCCACCCCATGCTTCTCGTCCTACTTTCCACTTCATCCCTTTTCTCCACAACCGGCCTCCCCCGGCGCAGAGGGGCAAGATCCCGGTTTCGTGTCTGGTTCTCCGCCCGGAGGTGCAGCGGGAACGAGAGGCAGCTGCGCCGGGGACACCGGGAGCAGGTCCAGGCGGCGCCCCGCCCGTCCCACCGCCCCGGCTCCCGGCCACCCAATCAGCGCGCGTCTCGGGCGCGCGCTGCGGCCAATCAGGAGCGGCGGGAGCGGCGCCAGGAACCCGCGGGCGCGGAGCGAGCCTGGAGAGTCAGGAGCAAGCTGCGGCGCTGCGGCCGCGAGGGAGGGCAGCGAGAGCAGCAGGGCGGGACGAGGATCCCCGCGCCAGCGCAGCCGGCTCTACCGCGGCGGCGTTCCGGCCGACGCTCGGGACCCTGCAGGCGGTGTCGCAGGTAACAGCGCGTCCCGCGGTGGAGGGCGAGGGTGCCCCGCCAGTGGGGCTCCGCAGGTGGAGCGGGCGAGGGGTGGGGGTGGGGGTGGGGGTGGGGGCGGGCCGCCCGCGAGGTCCTAGCGCCGCGAGTGCCGCCCCTCGCCCTGCGGGCCCCTGAACCTCCGCGCGTGCCTCGGTCGGAGCCCCGGGGAGGCGCGACATTTCCACCAGCCGCAGGCGTCCGGGGGTGGGAGGGGGTGAGGTGAGCCCGCCTAAGGGGGGCGAGGTGGAGGGGGTATCGGGAAGACACCTGCGACTCCCTCACCCCTACGCGGACACTATTTGCCGACGGGTGTCTTCCCTGAGATGTGAGTCCCCGCGACATCTTTGTTGGCCCGTATAGGGAGGCGACAACAGGTGTCCCTGGGGACGGTGCTTCCCCCGCCACCCCGCTCCGCCCCGAGTGAAACTGGGTCTTGGCGTTCCGCTCCACCTTCGGGGTGTCCGGAGACAGGACCCTTGCCTGGCCTCTCAGGCGCGCTGCCCGCTGGACAGCGCCCAGAGGCGGCCTGGACCCGGCAGACCCTGGCTTTGGATGGAGTTTCCTCCGCGCGTTGCCAAGCAATTTGCTGGACACCCGCCTCTTACTGGGTGAAGAAGAGTTGAAGATGAGAGAGATAGAGACAGAGAGAGAATGAGAATGTGTAAGTGCATGTGTTGCCCCTACTGGAAGGAGCTCCCTGAGGGCTGTGGGTAAATCATTAACTGCCTTGTGCAGCTACTTGGCCTCTGAAAGGGAGACAGCCTTTCTCTCAGGCAGGTCATTCGTGCCCTCTGTGCCTCACTGCCCTCATCTGTAAGGTGGCCATAAATAATTGCACCTGCTCCATAGCGTCCTTTAGAGGATTGAATAAACCAATGCCCGCAAAACACCGAGCACAAGGCTATACGGAGTGGATGGTCTTTTAAAGAGTAAATCAGATGTGTCCTACCTGGCCCAGTGATCATTTGGAGCTCTGAACAGCTTTCTAAACTCAAAGGGGAAAAATGCTATTATTAATATTTCTGATCGTATCGTTTAAAGGTAATACATCCTTTGAGGAATTAAAAAAAAAAAACTTCATTGGAATGGCGAAAGAGATAAATGGATTCCGATTAGTAACTGAGAAAAGCTTTGTAAACCTTGAAGAAATTGTTATGAATGTCGTGTGAGAAGAATATCTTGTTTTTTTGTTGAATGCTCATCTTTGACTGGTATGGCTTAAGGGGGAGGACTTAAAGGTTCTTATACTTTCCAGTCCTCCCTTGGACAAGTTTAAAGAGAGGGAAAGGAAGAGAAAAACAAATAAAAAGCCCAACCGCACAACAAAATGCCAGCAGCTCATAGAAACCTAAAATTGCCGTTCCTACTTTAGGCGGTTATTGCTATGTCTGACCTGGGTGGTCTGGTTTAGTTCTTTGCCACTGTGTCGCTTTTCTGTCCTTGTTTTCTTTCCCTTGTTCATTTACCGAAAATATCAATATGTAACTGATTTACTTGGAATTCTGAACCTTCTGCTCCTTAACATCCTACCCTGTGACAGACCCAAAAGGTCCTGAGGGCATTGTCAGTGAGAATCTGCCTGTCTTAGCATGCCACACTACCTGGGAAAGGTACAGGCAGAAGGCTTCAGTTCTCCAGGTGCCCCAGTGCTCTTGCCAGGAGCCTTTAAATAAATCCATCCACTTAGAGAAAGTGATTATCTTCTCAGGGGGTAAGAAGCCCACTTCCAGATGCAAGTCTTTCAAGTGTCAAATTAATTCCACAACCTTTTAACTTGTTGATAAGGAGACTTTTACTCTCTCCACCAGAATGGGAATGGGAGGATCCGAACACTTGGTGATGGAGGAGGGAGGGAGATGTGTGGGGCATGGGAAAGATTGCTGAGCTCAGAGCCAGACCCACACTTGGTGAAAACTGTTTCTGTGGCTGATGGCTGGGAAACCTGGACAAGTTGCCTTGCTTTTCTGAGCCAAAGTCTCCCACTCTGTAAAATGAGGGTTTAATTTTCTTTCTTTCTTCTTCTTCTTTTTTTTTTTTTAAAGAGGAGTTGTTGTTCTAGGGATAGTACTAATGAATAGGAAGTTCCCAGCAAAGTTCCAAGGACACAGTTATAGGTCTGTAGCATCCAAATGGGATCCTACAGGAGTCGATCAACTGATCAACCAACCAATCAAGTTATACCTAGGAACAAGAAAAGACTTGATCGAGGAAATAACACCTGAACTGACTGTAGAGGGATGAGTAAGTCTCCTATGCAGATAGGATTGAGGTGGGATTGGAAGGAAAGGTAGAGCAGAGGAGAAAGACATTCCAGACAGAGGGGTCTGGGGGATCAAATGGGCCATAATGGTCAGCTTAGGCAAAATAACAAATAACCCCCAAATTTCAATGGCTTACAAAGTTTATTTCTCACTTATCCTAAGTGTCCAGTGCAGGTCAGTTATGGTTCTGCTCCTTACCTGTTTTCATTCCAAGACCCTCCAGAGGCTTAAGAAACAGCCTCTTTCTGGGATAATACTGATCTCATGTAGGGGAATGGGAAAAAAGAGAATATGATGAAACAAAAATATGGCACTTAGTATCTGCTCAGAAGTCCCTTCAACTCTTATGCTCTTGGCTAAGGTAAATCACAGCCAAACCCCATGTCAGTGGGATGGGGAAGTATGAGCCTCCTGCAGACAGTGAGGTATGGCTAAGTAGGAGGGAAAGTGCAGAAGGAAACAGGGCCAGGGAGGTGGCCCAGATCCAGCGATGAAGGGCCCCGGGTTGTGTGCAGGTGTTTGGAACTTTATCTAATGGGCAAGGAGCAGCCACTGATGGGTTTTTAAGTTGGGGTTTGACCTGGTCAGATTTTTCAGGCAAAGCACATGTCTCTAGTGGCAATGTGGGGAGAAGACCAAACTAGGTGAGATTAAAAGTGAGAAATGATGAGGGCCCAAATGAATTCAGCAGCCTCAAATCTCCCTCGCTATCTGTCACATGACTTGAGGTTCCATTGCTGGAAAATTGTTCCCTTTTTTTTTAAGTCCTCTCCTAAGATGCACATGCTCTCTCATCTTCATGTCACCTAAAGCAGCGGTTCTCAAACTTCACTGTGCCTCAGAATTACACGGAGCCCTTGAGAAAACACAAATTTGTGGGTCCCACTCCTAGAGTCTCTAAGTCAATAGGTCTGGGGTGGCACCTGGGAATTAACATTTCTGACAAGAGCTCCAGTGTTGCTGATGCTGCCAGTCCAAAGTCTACACTTCGAAAACCATGGAGCTAAAAGGAGAAATTAAGGTGTGGTTGAGGGAAAGGCCTGAATAGAAGGGCCTAATGGAAGGAGGAAAAGTCTGGAAGGCCCCGGCATTCTCCATCTGGTAGATTTGCTGAAGGCTGGCAGTGGCAGTGGGGTCTCTGAGAGTGACTGATTCTCTAGGTTTATATTACACTGCAAATGTAATTCTCACCCCGAGGAAACGAAAGAAGTTTGGATTCACAGAAGAAGCACAGAAGTGCTTCTTTATCCCTCCCTTTGTAATTCTGCCCTGATTATCTCCCCCCACCCCCATCAGTGAGCACACACCCTTTTGTCTGGCTCGAGACCTCTCACTCAAGTCTGTCAGCATACATCAGTTCTGATCCATCACAGCTTTAATTCTGGAACTGGGGTTTGCCCTTTGGGTGGACATTTGGCTGAATTTTTAAATAGTCAGACCAAGACATTTCTTACTTCACTTGAGGTCATCTTCATGAATAAACATCTGTACCATATGATCATGCAAAGTGTGGTCAACTCTCCCAAGATAAATAACCCCCTGAGAACTCAAGATGTCCACAGTTTAGCTTATACTGATGGGCGGGGCAGGTCACAACAATTCCTTGAATGGTGACTCACCGCTCCTGTAATGAGAGCATTCCAAGAGTGGACGTGAAGGAGAAAATATGTTGGCATGTACAACGTGACACAAGAAATAAAACACAGCGGGGGTTTGTTTTCTTTTTACTCAATTTTTCTCAATTCTGGATGATGGAAAAAGCGTTAACTCTGCCAGGGTCCTGATAATCAGTGATATGCCTGCCCACACCATGTGGATACATGAAATACTTTCAGAGTCAGCATTCTGGGAGCTGGCCAACAGGTTACAGTATTTGTTTCAAGGTGGTATGAGAGTATAACAGTCCATTGGGGTGTGGATAGCCTGTACTAGAAATTATATGCATATGAACTTCATATAAAATAAGAGATGTCATGGTGGGTCCAGACTATAAAATGAAGTGTGAATAATACGTGAAGAGATCCTTTTCCTGACAGATTTGACAAACCACACCTATAAGGTGTGCTTTCTGTAACAGCAGAATTCCTGCGGATTCTGCCTACCTCCAGAGGTGGATGAGAAAGTTTGGAGCCATAACCTCTAGTCAGGAGGCCTGAGGCCATCTCTGCTGGTCTGTTTCCCTCTCCAGGTAATTTTGGAAAGCCAGCTGTTTCACTTCCTCCTGTAGTCGTGGCCTTCCCTTGGTCAGCTCTACAATGAAACCCTGTAGCTCCCTCCATCTCAGGTCTCCAGGAAGCTTGGTCTGAAGTTGCAGAAGATTAGCAGACAAAACTCTAGGCCTGAGTAAGAGTCAGTGAGGGAAGGGACACTTAAACTAGCCAGGAGGGATCTAAAAATGTTGAACATGTTCATTAGAAAGTGATACTTTTCCCCACTGGATAGCATTTATCTGGCAATGTGGTCTTTAAGAAAAATACACATTAAACACTACACAAATAGTATCCTCTCTATGTGTTTATGTTGAATAAATGTTAAAAGTGTCATATATATTTTTTAACATCTCTAGCAGTTTCAAGAGGTAGGTTTCTTGTGCTATAGCTGGTTTTCTGAAATGCAATTAATGAGAAACAGTTGGCAAAAATCCACAGACAAAAAAAAAAAAAATCCACAGATAATAGAAGGACAGGATTGAAAACCCAGTCCCTTGAATTTTTTGTT